TTGGAGACATTGGTGACCAAGTTTTCCGGAATTGACGAGTTTCCGGTTGGAATTTCAAAACTGCGAAACTTGCGATATCTAATTGTTGAATATGACACACGCATGAAGGATTCCTGCGACATTTGGCAATTGAAGAGATTGCAGGTCTTAGATGGCATCCATGTAGAAACGCAGTTTATCAAGAACCTTGGTAAAATGACGAAGCTCACAAAGATTGGTCTATGGAAGGTGAGGAAAAATCATGAAAAGGACTTGTCTGATTCTCTCAATAAACTATCGGATCTTAGGTCATTATCTCTATTTTCAATGGATGGAGAACTCTTACCAATAGATGCGTTATCACATACTACAAAAATCGAGAAGCTTCAGCTCGCCGGTAAGCTTGAAAGATTGCCCAGCTGGTTCAAGACTCTTCACAAACTTACTCGGCTAAGTTTGGGTGCATCTAGTTTGGGAGAAGATGCAATGTCTTGCATCGGAGGAATCCCTAATTTGGTCAAGCTTTCCATTTACAACAATGCATACGAGGGGGATAGGTTATGCTTTCAAGAAGGATTTCCATGTCTGAAAGTGTTAGAGGTAACTAGGATGCGGTATTTGGAAGATATTGTCATAGCGAAAGGCGCAATGCCGCATCTGCAGAAGCTGAAGATCGGGTATTGCAGAGGGGTAAAGAGAGTGCCCGATGGCATTGAAAGCCTTACCAAACTTGAAAAACTATCTCTATCTCAAGCTTCAGACGAGCTACTGGAGAGAATCCGCGGAGAGAATGGCATAGACCGCTCAAAGGTAAACCACATTCCAATCATAAAGCACGTTTTGGCAACGAAAAATGGTATCTCCACTGAGAAGCTATCATGACGGCAAAGAAGAAGGCCCCTCTTCATTCCCTCAAAACGTTGATCATCCAAGGTAAATTTCATGCTCATGGAACACAGTTCATATATGTGATACGTTATTTTATTTCGAACCATATTTGTAATTTGCAATATGAGTCTCTATGTTTATGGAAACAATCTATAGTTTCCGTACATTTTTAACCATCAATCTTTTAAAATATTGATGCATTGAACTCATGATCATGGCGAAACTAAATCATTGGACGATGTGTATATATAAACATACAAGAGACCTGCGAGATTGCGGTGATGATGTCGACAACTCTTATCATCCAACAAGGTGTATCCATCGAACAAGGCTTGATTGGTGCCAATGAGATATACAGAGCTTGAACAAACCCAATACTTACAAATTACAATTCAACTTGCCTCATCGATACATCATCCAAATTTTCAAATCGAATTCTACCCAGATTCACATAAGAGTGAATATATATATATATATATATATATATATATATATATATGGAAACATGCTTTGGGAAGACATTGTTCCCTCCAGATAGCGTCGCTGTCATTCGAGCAAGCGTTGGTGCTTACACCAGCTGATGGCACCAACGTAGAGGCAGATGCTTCCCAGAGCGCCTCCGAGGACGGTCCATAGGAATTTGCGTGGGCCGGCTGCCTCGTCTTTGAACAGCTCTATACGAATGTTCATACCGAATATTCCAGCCACGACGACAAATGCGCTCAGCACAAGTGTTGCTGTCGTCAACATCACTCCCATCTGCAGAAGATGGTTCTGTTTGTCGTCCAGCATTATGTTGATGTAGTCCTCTGTGTCATCCACGTATTCCCTCAGCTTTTGTAACAAAATGACACGAAAAATGTCCATTAGAACTAGGGTTTTGGGGAAAATATCGGGTTTTTTTGTGAACCATCTGTGTTCTGGAAGGATCATAGTCATTATGATTCTGGTCCAAACGAGTGAGATACAAAAACAACCCACTGCCGACTCGGGGAAATGTTAAAAAGGAGCAAACCCGGAAAATGTTTTCGAACAAGATCCATTTTTGCTTCACATGCAACTTGGAAGACATGGGAGATCATCCATGAGAAAATTTTTCAGAAAGATTCTGTCATCGAAGGCTTTTTGGCAAGTATTACTTACAGTTGATAGTTTGTTCAGGGTACCGTCAATCTGCACGAAATATGCCTCCAGGAGCATCTCGAGCTCTTCGACATCAAAAGCCTTGCTTACGGCACTCCGAGTCGTACTAGTATGAGTCCCACGGCTGTTCCTGCTAAGTTCATTATGAGCACTCATAAGAAGATCATGGGCATTGCCCGTTTGAGGCTCACCTTCATAGGAAACAGTGTCTATATTAACCTCCGACCCGAATTCAGGAGCAAACCTACATGAACGCGGTTAAAAAGGAGATGGTTATTCTTTAACAAATGCAATTGAATATGGCATCTTTTCACTGAAGGAATACGAAGCCACATGCCTGTCATCAGCGTCTTCCACAGGAAGGTCATCCTCAACCGTATCACTATCATTCATAGAAGAACTTGAAGAATCCTCAAGTTGCTGAGCCAATTTCTCCGTAAGATACATCTCAGCCATATCTTCATCGTCGTCTAACAGATGTTCTAGCTCATCTCGGACCTAGTTTTCGTACGTATACATAAGTGAACAGCATACCGTTAAGTATACATTTGATGAACTCTTTTGATCTTTTATATTCACAACTAAGAAGGAAAATGAATGATGCTTAGGGTAAGATATGATGGAAAGCGTAAAACTACAAACCTTCTGTACACGTCCAGTTATAGCAACCAGCCTGCTTTTAATTTGACGAACTCGTTCCAAATTGAGAGTACTGATTTTGGAAGTTAGCTTGTCCAAAGCCGGATGAGCCTCGAGCTCCAATCTTAAAGCCTATTTTGAAAGAAGATGAAAAAACAACGATTCAAGAAATGAACAAGAGAACCCAGAAACAATGAATAAAAAAGAGAGCTAAAAAAATTGTTTCACCTCATGTTCCAAGCTGCTGCAGGCAGCTTCAAGACAGGCTTCAAGAGCAACAAACTCAAAGGGAAGAACCTTTGATCCATCTTGATTCTCAAGACCTTGCTTTGCATCTGTCTTGGCTTCACTGTCTTGATTCTCAAACAATTGCGGGTCTCCAGGTTCTGCTTGGGCAGAATCTACCATGGTTAGAGGCTCTTCCTCCGAATTCTCTTCCACCTGTTTGTTACAAACAGGAAGTAAACATGGAAAGTTTGCATTAGAAAAAAAGGCAAAAATGATATCAACAAAGCCATGATGCAAAAGCAGAACTTGTTTATCAGCCCTCAACCGAACTGAATCACTAAGTTCCATGAAAAGGTTACACAAAAGAGATAGGACAAGAGAAAATGCACAATACGAACTCTTCTATTCTAATGTAACATTGAAAAGCCAAGCAGAAATTCTGCTTGAAAAACGAGATTAGGAGCTTAATTTCCCCATTATCTTCTTGATATGACATCACCATGACCCAATACAGTGTAATTGCTCCATCCCCAGATTTCAGTATTTTTATGAGATTTTAGAACCTCGATCAGGTAAAGAGGACTTGTAAAACCAAAACCAGAGTTCTGAATTCAGAATCCTTTGTATCTAGATGCCTCCCTCTACATTCACACGAATGAAAAATCTAATTTCCAAAGAAAAAGAGGAACCTTCAATGGAAATTGGCGAAAACTCCAAAACAATTTCCATCCATAACCTCAAAAACTCCATATTCCAAAGGCAAGCAGTACAAACAACCCCTATCTTCACAAAAAAACGAACAAAAAAAACCCGAGTAATTCAAATCACCTGAGCTTTAGTCGCTTGATGATGGCACAGGATTCTTCTCTGCAACTCGTTAATGAAAGGCGACACCGAAGGATCCTTGGAATTAAGCAATAAAACCTCTTGCGCGGTGATAATCGCTTTGATATGCTCCAAATTGATGACGATCGCTCTCTCTCGACCCAGAACCGTCGACGGGTACGAGAGAAGCGGATCGAGAATCCGGAGATCTCTCGCCGGCAAACCAGTTCGCCGCATGATTGTATGCTTTCCGGCCTCGAGCATCTGCGCTTGTCCCGCCGAGTTGAGCACCAACCACGGCCCTGCCCCCTCCCCGCCGTTGTCGGGAATGGATCGGAATCTTCGGGCTTACCGCCGATTCTCATGGCTTTGGAAGAGTGAAGTAATGAACGGTGGTCATTGCAGTGTTGAAATCAAAGGAACGAACTTGAGGTGGGGGGGGGGGCAATACGGTTCGATTCGGTTTGGATCTGAGCTCGGATAATTTCGGTTTAGAAAATCGAACCGAATTAAAATCAAATTATTTTTTCCGGTTTGTTTTGGTTGATTTTGCGGGTCATATAGCATCCGTGGCGGTCGATTTATACGTCCATAAAGACGGTTTATAACTAAAAATACGAATCAACGTATTTTTCATTCTTTCTTATATCACTTCATGTCTCTATCTTTAATTATGTGACATGGACATTTAATAATGCAATGCATCTAAACTTCATGTCGAATCCAACACTCAAAACACTCAAACAAAAGAACAGATCGAGCATGTATGTATGTATGTATGTATGTATGTATGTATGTATGTATGTATGTATGTATGTATGTATGTATGTATGTATGTATGTATGGGTTACAAACCGGTAACTGAAGTCAAAACCAGGCAATTTTGCAGACAATTTTGACCGCGGTAAAAAAAAAAGAGTTCGGTAAAATCCCATAAAAAAAAAAGGTTCAATGTTTATCCAAATCCTTGACCAAGACGTCAAAACTATACAAACACATCTCTGACAGCTCAATAAGGACATTGTTCCTGCAACATTTTGGTCGTTTCAAAGCCGAGCAAATAGTTCGTCAATAAACAATGGAGGGTTTGATTCCGTACCTGATGCAAGCCATGAAGAAAGGGCACGACCCTAATGCTCACTACAGCAGATCGGTGTCGGCCGGATCCAGCCGCGGAAATCGGCCGCTGCTGCTGGGACATGACGATCATTCAAATTCACTCCATCATGGATCGTCTCACCGTCGAACAAGATCGGATTACAAACCTCCTGGGCCTGATCAGTTGTGGGACCCGCGATCCGGGTTTGGTCAGGATCTCGATTCTGATTCGATGAACAAAAGCAGTTCCTCGTTCGTTGGCGGCGCGGATGTTGTGAAGGAGGCTGAAGAAAATGTTTCTTATACTATGCGTTGATCGTCATTAGTGTGGTGTTATATTATATGCTAAATCTTTCTATTTTTATTTCAATTTTTTCTCCCAATGGTTCGTAACATGTTGTATTAACAGATTGATTTGAAGATTGTTCTGTGTTCTTAAGGTTAGAAGTATTTTTAAAAAATTTAAGGGAACATTAATTATAAAAAGGGTATTTAGCGAAATCGTCATAAATCAAAACGCGAAAGACGCGGCTGTGGCTGGGATGTTATATCGTCCGATTGGTTGCGATTGTGGTTGTGGCGATTGTCATACCTAGAGCTGGGCGTTTCTGTTCGGTTCTTCGAAACCGGATCGAACCGAACCGTTAAAACGGTATTTTTTCCGACCCGAAATCGCTGTTATTTTTCGAACGGTACTATTTTTAGAGAATCGAATTTTTCCAGAACCGAACCGAACCGAACTTTAAAAATCCCGAAAAACCGAATATTTGTAAACAAAATCTATCATTTTTTTAATAAAATCCAAAACCGAACCGAATCGATACCGAAACCGAACCGAACCGAATACAATAAAAAAATCCAATTGATACCTATTTTTGTAAAACCAAAAGAACCGAACCGATCTATTCCATCCCGAACCCAAACCGTTTCCCGAAACGTCCAGCCCTAGCCATGCCATCGATAATTTTTGACATGCCCGCAAACGTTACATTTATAAAAATCATGTATTTTGTTTAAAAAATTCGAATTTTTTATATCAATATAAGAATAGATAACAAATCGGTATATTTATGCGAAATATTTTTCAATTTTAATTAAATATACATTAATAAATTTAATAATAAAAAATAAAGAACAAGACAGATCAGTGAGCACTGAGCACTTCGTTTCTCTATTTATGTTCTGTCACCGTTATTCTTCGACACGTGGCAAGCCAACGATAATCATTACACCTGTCATCTCCTCATAGGATCCACTCATCAGCGCTTTTGGATAAATATCAGCCAGTTTGCTTGTCGGGGATCACCACCGAAGAAAAGCTAACGAATGGTAAAGAAGTTGCCACGTGTCGATAGAGTATGAGAACACCGGTTGGCAAATACGTGACGCCGCACCCAATCGGATCTCCACACAGCTACTCAAACTCCGGCCTCGAGTATTTGTAATTTATTAGCTTAATTCTATCATCTTGTTTATTAAAATTTAAGAAATGTATTTTCTGGTTGGAACTTATTGGTGATTTAAGTATTTTTTTCCTATGGAATTAAGAAAATTTATATATTCCACCACAAATCTAATTGGATTGAATCTTGAATATTTTTTATCTATTAATTAATTTCAAATACTATAAATAGTCTTTAAAACTGAAATATATGTAGAATTCTTTATTGGAACCATTAGTATCAAGATGCTGGATATAAATTACAATAAGAATATTATATTATCAAATTCGGACGATCCATGGATTTTGATATTTTAAATGGGAAAATATTAAAAATCTTGAAATTATGAAAATTGATCTTATAATTTAATCATATAATCTTGGAGAATTTATGACGACAGAGTGGTGGATAATTAGTGACGAAAACTAATTAGGCGTGTACGCGTTTTGATTAAAAGCGCGTCCCACGCGACTCGTGGCTCATAGCCCACACTGCAACATGGGAATACTTTTCCAACAATATTTAAATTTGTATAAAAAAAAATTATGTTACATTTAAACGAACAATATGCTAATTTTTTTGTTGGTTCTATTGGGTTTTTAAGGTTGACTTTGAACAGTTCTCTCACTTGCATATAACTAAAACTTATTAGGTGACCAAAGACCAAAACCTCGCATGTAGTAACACACTATTACCATTCTATATATTTCCAAAGTCAATCTCAAATATTTAGTTCTGAATCTAAATGTTTTAATATCCATAAAATAATAAAAAAAAATTCCTAGAAATTATAAAATAAAAAAATGGAAATTTATTTCCTTTTCTCCAACTAAAATAAGAAAAGGAATACAACCTTTACCCAAAAAAAAAAAGGAAACGATTTGGAAAAAAAAAAAAACTCTGTTAGGCATATATGCCTACACAGAGAGATAGTTGACCGACTTAATACGCCTTAGCCACGTGGCTCTATATAAAAGGAGAGTCCAACCCTCAAGGCTCCAAGGAGAAACACTTCATCGACTCTCTCTCTCTCTCTACTTCTCTCTCTAGAAACAGAAACTCTTCACCTCTTCGGAGAGCAAATCGGAAAATTCTTGAAATTCTTTTGTTTTCTTCGTCTGTGTGTATGGCACTTGAAGCGATGAATTCTCCGACGCCGCTGCAGTTCCCCGCCGCCGAGAACAAATACCGGCGAGAAGCCGGAGAAGATATGATAACCGACGCCGCTTTCATGGAACCTTGGCTCAAACGCAAACGCTCGAAACGCGAGCGTTCTCTAGACCCTTCTCCCTCGTCGTCTTCTGGGCCCAACGAGGACGAGTACCTCGCTCTCTGCCTCGTCATGCTCGCCCGCGGCCGACCCACGACTGCTCAAACGCAAACGCAAACGCAAACGCAGACGCAGAAGATTTCCTACAAGTGTAGTGTGTGCAACAAGGCGTTTCCTTCTTACCAAGCTTTAGGCGGTCACAAGGCGAGCCACCGCATCAAGAGCGCTTCAACGGCCGCAACCACCGCAGATGATCTCTCCGCCGTAGCTTCCACCGGGGAAAAATCTCAGGCGGCGACCGCCGTCGCTCTATCCGGGAAGACACACGAGTGTTCGATATGCCATAAGGTGTTTCCGACTGGGCAAGCGCTCGGCGGACACAAGCGGTGCCACTACGAAGGCACCATCGGCGGCGGAGGAAGAGGAAGCAAGTCGTCGAGCCACAGCGGCGGAGGAAGCACGGTGTCGGAGGAGCGGGGGCACCGTGGATTCATCGACCTGAACCTCCCGGCGCTTCCGGAGTTTGGATTGTCCGGCGGCGGCGGAGTGGAGGAAGAGGTGGAGAGCCCCTTGCCGGGGAAGAAACCGCATTTCCTAACGGACCGAGATGACGCCGTCAAGAAAGAACATTTTTCTCTACGAATTTGTAATAAATAAAAAAGAAATATTATTGTTATAATATCATTTGGTTCAATATACATTTCTTGTTTTTGTATTACCAATACAGTGTGATCCATATGTTTTTTTTCCCTTTACAATTAGACATATTTTAGGTTTATTCCATTTGTTCTATTTTTTATTTATCGTTGATTTTCATCAAACAAATACTATTATTTTTTACGGTTTTTTTTTGTAAAATAAAAAATATTTTCAATTGGCAATCTCTACTTATTTAAAAAAAAAAAAAGGGTGGAAAGAGAGAAGCAAAGAATTGCGTAAATAGATCGACATGCCTTACGTATTATTTATACTATGTCGGTACCTTACTTGATAAGTTACAACAAAGCCTCGGTGTCCATGTTTATGCACATGTCTATATATATATATATATATAATATGTTGAAATAGAAACAAAATATGGAGATTTGATATGATTGATAACAATTAAAGGCATAATATCGATTAAGAATAAAATATATATCGTGATAATTATATTTTGCCTTATTTGTTTCTTTCGTATCTTTATTTCCTTGTTTCTTTCAATAATTTTTTCTATAAATGTATGGATTATTTTCATTGTAATGTAATAAGAAGAAGAGATGTAGCAATAAAAGTGTTTGCGTTCTTTTATCTTTTGTTCTTTCTTTCTAATTTAATTTCCGCATTTTATTTTTCAATATGGTATCAGAGCCTGGTTGCGATCTGAACTATATGTTTCTCTTTTTCTAATTTTCTAATCTCTTCTTTCTTTTGCGTTTTGGATGTTCATATATCCAAATCGTTCAAAGGGAGAGTAAAAAAACCAGATTCAAACGATGTGCTATGACAAAAAGAAGTCAAAGCTAAAAACTCTAAGATCAAGCAAGATGCTATGACAAAAAGAGTTAAAGTTAGAACTTTAAAGTCAAGCGAAGTGATTTGAAAGAGGTTAATACTCTCTAAATGAATGAAATTTGGTTTCTATGGATTGTTCTAATAACAGTGAAGTTTTTTATCATTTTGTTGTATCTTCAAGATTGATTTTTGAATTCTTTCAAAATCAATCTTGAGGGGGAATGTTGAAATAGAAACAAAATATGGAGATTTGATATGATTGATAACAATTAAAGGCATAATATCGATTAAGAATAAAATATATATCGTGATAATTATATTTTGCCTTATTTGTTTCTTTCGTATCTTTATTTCCTTGTTTCTTTCAATATTTTTTCCTATAAATGTATGGATTATTTTCATTGTAATGTAACAAGAAGAAGAGATGTAACAATAAAAGTGTTTCCGTTCTTTTATCTTTTGTTCTTTCTTTCTAATTTAATTTCCGCATTTTATTTTTCAATATAATATACCTGATGTGCATTATACTTAATATATATATATGTTTATAATCTAAATTTCTGATTTTTCCTAAATTGGACAGTTCAACCAATTTTTTTTTCTAGATTGTAACGATTCATCAGGTTGTTTTCGATTTCTTTAAGTCCTTTTCTCGGAATTTTAATAGCAAAACTTGAAAAATAAAATAAAATAAAATTGGACGAAGTTTCCATTACATCATATTACACTTTCTACCAAAATCCTTCCACGTGGACTCATTAATTGCTTTAATATTCGAAATTATTGTAAAATTGATATGCTTGTTAAGCTTTGTCACATCTTCCTATTCATTTATCGACCACTAATATCATATCCTAATTTAGTTTCGCGTGTTCATTTCTATTTATATAAAGTTATAAATTGCATTAGCAATACAATAATTTATGTTTAGCTTAATTTTTGTCAATTAACAATACATTAGTTTCGATTAGTTTTTGGATTACTCTGCTCCTCGCAATATTTGTTATTTTACTTTCATATAAGTTGCGATAAAACTCGTTCTCATTTTAGTTACACATGAAACATCCACCTAAATACTCTTTTCTTTAATAATTATATGTACAATGTGAATCTTAAAACCACGAGGTTTTTCATATATTATTGTAAATCCACCACCATTTTCTAATGAAGCTCTCTATTAGATATATATGTTATATTTTATTATATAAAATATAAGCAGTATTTCTAAAAAAAAAGAAAAATACGACGAGCCGCCATAACAAAAAAAAAAGGACAAAAATAAAAGGGAGATAGAGACTTTGAGAAGTTTACGTAAATGGCAACTAAAAAAAGAACCTTTGAAATTCTGGTTTGACACGTTGTGTTGCGTTGTCTTGCCTCGACGGAGAAGGAACTACACTCACCTTGATTCTCCACGTGTTAATTTATATATTACTACACTAAAAAAAAAATTTACTCGTTATAACTATATATACATATTCAACTACACGCATAATATTTAATATCTCAATATCTATACAGCCTATATATATTAAAGAGAAGAAAAAAAAAAGAACAGTTTATGTGGCAGCATCGCAGTGTGTTTTTTCCCCGTTTGAACATTAAATAAAATTTAAAGTTTATTTATAAATAGGCAAAAAATATATATTTTTTATTCGGGGAAATTGATTTGTTATTGGAATCCCTAACAAAAAATGTAGGGGCACGTATGCCTCGGATAGTGTGATAATTTGATGCCAAAAGTAATGAAATCATAAATAAAATGTTCTAGTAGTTACATAGTAAAATTTGATAAAATCAATATAACAATCTAAATGAATAAATAAAAACGATAATAATTTTAAGATTCAATTGAATATTTCCATGGTTTCAGGAACAAACATATGGAGGCGGTATCCTATATTAAGAACGTGTATTATTATTATTTTTTATTATAATTGGATTGCAGTATGGTAAATTTAGAATTTATTTTTAATAATCTAAGATATGTTTCGTGGTCATCTTTGCGTTGTGTATGAATGGCGTTGTCCTTGGCGTGTTGTCAAACTTCTCCTAATGCAAAACGTATTGGAAACCTTTTTATTCCTTCATTTAAAAAAAAATTGAATTTGGAGTATCTTTACTTGCATGATACCCAAGTTTGGATGGTCTAGTAGTGAGATAACATGCAAAACATGTTTTCACCCTGAATTTAAATCAAAACGTAGAGAAGAACATTCACCTGGACTTCTCCGATCGTCTGTGGAGATGTAGTCGGACCGATAAACTTTCAAATTATAAAAAAAAAACTATCAAACCATATGGCATTGAATAATATCCACTCGTATGCGAAGTAAATCTTATATAAACTTATATTCAGTATATTTTAAAAAAAAATCAAATTAATTGAAAAAAATGAATCAGAAAAAATTCCTTTAAACAATAAATACTTTTTTTTTATATATGAAAATGGAATATAAATGAATCTGAATACGATTATCAACAATAGAGATTAATTCCAACCAACACAGTACACACCAAAAAGACAGCAACATTATAATTAGAAAAGACATGAGGAAAGTGAGGTTGTAAATCTAATGCGACCTGCTTCCCCCATTACATTTGTATATGTACATTCCTTTCTTACTTCATAATTCTTCTTCTTTCTCCTCTTGTGAACACACACACAAAAAGACATTAGAGAGTTACTGTAAGAACCAGACTGGCTGAACTTCAGAGGCAACACCCATCTTTTCCTTTTTCTTCTTGTTCTTTTTCTTGAAACTTTTCCTCCTGTAATCTTCAGACACAAAGGACTTTTCCATAAACAACACAAATCCATATCACAAAGAGACAGACCCAGAGATAAGAGTGAGAAAGAATGGCGAAATGAAACGATTTTCCCTGAGAATTTTACCTTGGTTCGATTGAAAACAAAACAGTCAGGATTCTGGGGAAAGGCTGTGGTGTAAAGGTTAGCGTTCTGGTTTTCTGGTGTGGTGAGCAGTGAAAAGAACGGCGAAAGAGATTGGTGAATACATCAGTTTCTACACATGTGAAGTCAGGCTGCTTGTGATCGGTATCCGACTTAGCTGTGTTATGTGTGTTTTCATGCTACAATCTGTAACCTGTCCGATTTTTCATTAACCGGAGTCAGCAAGTGAAAAGATGGGGAATAGTATAAGATGAACGACAAAGAAAACAGTTCCGAAATGCAGAAAAAGGAGAAGGGAGGAGAGGCAGAATTTTAACCTGCAAGGCTGCTACTCTTGATAAGAAGCCTTGACACTGTTCAAGCAAACCCTTTTCCTTTGCAGTGATATTCACGAGCTCAACCATTACAGAATTCGTTTCATCCACCTAGTAATGAAGAAAAAATGGTTGAGATAAACGGGCTAGAAGCATGACTCACAATTCACGACCAATGCATATGATACACAAAGCACTTGGTGGGTTGATTTTAGTTTCTCATAAACCCAGGTGGTTGAAATCGACAACTATTGATGCATAGAAATGCAGATAAGGCAAATTTTATGTAACTGTATTCATTCTAAAGTTTTCTAAAAAGACATTTACCTTCATGGACAATGAACATATGGAAGATGCCATAGCTTGCATGACAACAACAGCTGAACTAACAGCGTGCTTGAGATCACGGATATCAGCCTAACAACGCAGACAGGATAAAAGAAACATTCAGAAAAAAGTCTTAAATTACCTCGGATGAAACAGATAAACAAAAGTGAATTATATGCGAGTCGTCTATAAAGACACTTACCACGGCTTTTCCGACAATTGGGAGACGAAGAGTGCTGGCCTTCAAGGCTCCGATTGCTTCCGACAAAGAATTTGAATGATCTCTCTCCAAAAGAGACCATTCTTCCATGTAACCCACCTACATTTGACAAATCGAATGATTTTAATCACAATTTAAAAAGCTAAATAAATGCGCTTATAGTAAAGAAGTGCGCTGTAAGATGATCCTAAACAATTAGTAATACCAACTCCTAGAGACAAATATGGAAAATTTACCTCATGGGAACAATTATTCAAAATCATACAAACTAGTAAAACCAAGATGCAGTGATTGTTCTGTTTATTTGAGTTATACTAAAGAATCAGATTACAGCGCCACCCTGAACGATGAACTTTTACACTTCGCGCAGCAAGATTTTTCGACATCAAAGTCACAAAGCTCAAGTCCTAAAATGCTTTTCTTTTTCCTCAAACATTGAGAAAATACCATAGAAAATGGTGCACTTACCATATTGTTATTTTTTCTGAGGAATAAGATGTCAGAGGACAAATTGTAGAATGGAATTGTATTCTCACCTGCCCCCTCAGGATGGAAGCCAGTTTCAGTTTCTGCTTCAACAATAGCAACTTGATTCGTTTCAGTGTGACAGTGTGACGTAATTCGGAGATTGATATCCAAGCATGCCACAAAATTTTCTGGCAAACCAGAGAAGATTAATCAAGATTTGATGAAAAATTATCGCTTAATAAGGCAAACTAAACATAACATATGTGAAGGAAAACAGATAAAAAGGAAACCATGCCCACATTCTACTAGGCTATTATCAGAACGGACTGAAAATTCTGAATGCTTTACGCTAATATGTTCATGTATGTTCACCATCCTGAGTCTTTTACATGACTAAATCTGTTATTTCAAACTATCTCTATGGATTTCTCAATCTAATATTTACTAGACTTTGTATAACCTATCCCGGAAACTGGGAATAAAATTAGAGAAGATCTTTTCACAGCCTCAAGCTAAATCAATCCAAGACTTGAATCGAATGTTGCTCCAAATCCATGAGACTGTTACTAAGATCTTGTTTTTACTAAAGTGGTGACAAAGCATGAACTGTTGCAGGAAGATCAAATCAGTCTCATCACATGGAAAATTTCAAGCATCATTCTTTCACCTATATGAAAGAAAACCCATTACGGCATACCTCTGCATTCAATCTTTGCACCATGAAGATAGAATCCGCCCTTGCATTCCCGAACCGCCACTGCAGGTAACGATTATACAGAAGCCTTAACAAATGTGCATCCATAACACGATCCTCTCCAATCTTTCCCCTCCTAATATCAGCAGAGAAACAAAGAATAGACGGCGTGTCACTATAACAAGAATTCATTTGATCAGAAACTCCATTTCTCACTCGAGCCGGACTCGAAATTGCCCTAGCTGGAGATGATGTGGTTGTCGCCCAAAGCTTGCTTGGTGAAGCAGGACGAGTAGCTCCTCGTGTAGGAGAAGGCATACTACGAGGAGATGGCAGATTACCATCACTAGAAAACCCTTTCAACTGACCAAACTTTGATGAGATGCTATTGGTTCTCGAACTCGGGCTAGAGGGTAACGGCGAACTGGGATCCTGCAATCGCCTTAATCGGCTATTAGTCTCTTGCCAGAATCTAGCAGAAGCCATTATACTACGCCGCAAGCTCTTCATTTTAGAAATTTCACCATTGACACAAACAGTACCACCAGAATCACATTCTTGCACACCGTTAGTGCTACCCGACGAAACACTATCAGTATCAGATGCAGTAAAGTCGCACGAAATACTTGACGCCAATGCATTAGCCGAATGCGTTTCTGCGCTTCGCTTGCTTTCATTCCGCATTTCCAATAAATCATTCGTGCTTCCCAAATTCAAACTCAGCCTCCCATCAACAGAAACCCTAGGACTCCCATCGACCAAAGAATGATGCAATAGTGAATTGCCCACATACCCAGATCCAAGTTTCCTCCGATCACTGCCACAATCCAAGCTTCTCGAAAGCGGGTTCGACTCAGATTCATTATTTCCCTTCCGAGACGTTCCCGGCCACCGAAGCTGGTCCACAGGCTTTGAGTTCTCCCTCTGATCTCTCACCGGCGTCGATCTCCGCCTCTCCGGCGTAGTTTTTCGGTGAGAAACAAGCGGGGTAGTCTCCTTTTTCTTACTAATCGGAAGCGAAAACGCTTCACCTTGAAATGAAACCGATAAACTACGAGTGGAAGTGATAAGCATCTTTGTCGCCACCGACATTTCGGCGCCGCTGCCTCCGACGACAGGAGCCGGCGACGGCCGTCTGCGGTCCACGGATTGCGACCGTTTGGGCAACAACGAAGGCGTCTTTATCAAAGTAGAAGCAGAATTCGTCGGGCGAGAGAGGAGTGGAGAAGGGTATCGCTTACTTGTTTTGAATGAAGAAGAAGAAGAAGAAGAAGTGGTAGTGGTAGCGTTAGTGGAAGCGGAAAGAGAAGAAGAAGGAGACGGGGAGAGGTAGCGTGACGGGACCTGTTTGCCTCTGGGTCTTCGTTGTTGCTGGTTTCCGCCATTGTTGGCGATGGGTCGAGGTTTTTCTTGCTGATCTCGAGGTATGTTTCTCGGTTCAGGACTAGCGATTGCTGCTTGAGGAAACGCAGCAACCATTATAAAACCTCCGAGAGAATATATCTTCGTCTGCTTACTTCTTCTTCTTCTTCTTCTTCGTGTTCCTCACATTTCATTTAAGGGACCTGTCTCCTCCACTCCGAAGCAAATTTCACAGATTACAGTGCAAATCAAAGAACCCAATATGGATCTTAATAGGATTTTGCATTTGAGAGAGAGAGAGAGACGGAGATCGGAGAATTGTTGGTGGGGTTTCTAGATTTTGTTCTTTAAACTTTTGTTTGAGCTGATTTCTAAACTCCCTCTTTCTTTTCTTTTCCTCTTCGGAGGTTTTAATGAACTTTTCAGCGGCTTCGCTTTTGCTTAACGATGCTTAATTAACTAATCCATCGTTACTTATTCCACATTTTTTTAATTTTTTTTCTTCAAAAATAATATATATATATACACACATAAAAGAGAAAACATTATAAATTAATATTATACTTTATGAATATAGTGATCACTAAAAAATAGAAATGTACATCTTGGTTATTACGTGGATACAGGCTCCATTATCTGTGTTGATAATAGAAATTATATATCGTTTTAACTAACAACATAAAATATTAAAGAATATAATTTTATGTTAAAAAATTGTCCCATAGTTCTATAATCTATTAAACGAATAATTTTTAAAAAATTATTTGAATTTTATTAGTTTTTTCTCATTTCATCCTTTCCGTAGAAATATTCGCTAGGATAACTTTGGGTTTTCTTTTTCATTAGAATTATAAGACCTTCAAAGTTATCAGGCAAGACGCAATTATATTTTTACGCAACAATAAATAAATGAATATACAATTTATTTTAGAAAATAATTATTTACAGTGTGCTGAAAATAAAATATATTTGAGACGAATCTTTTTATTTATATAAACTGTATTCTTGATTTAGTTATGATACTTCAACAATCTCTTGCTTGATTACTTGTTTTATATTCTTTATACGTAGGAATGTGTATGTGACTTTTGTGGTTTAATGAATAAAAACTATGACTGTATTTTACCAAACTGCCGCAAAATTTCGTTAAAAGCTGTAGAAAACACGACCTTTAACTTGTTACACATTTTATTGGCGATAACAATCTTCAATATTCAAATTATTATATACTCCCAAATTTTTCCAAAATTATAAAATTTAAAATTGCAATTGATAGCATCCGCTCAAAGAGTCAACGAAATAATCAACCGGGTATAAATATAAAATAGTCAACTAAATAGTCATAACCACTCAATCTTTCAAAACATCAAAAAAAATATTAAAACCAAAGTCTGTCTGTATATAAATATATATACATATAAGCAAAGCCATAATTAATTGCGTTTGTGGTATTAAGAAATCCAAAGCAAATAAAAGAAGCAAAGCCATAATTATCTCTATACGTTTGGTTATCAATATATTTGTCCATTTTGCCATTTGCTTGGAGTCAAAACATTTATTAACCTTTCTTTGTAATTTGTAAACCTACGATCCACTACAACTTACAATCAAAATTTCGTATATATATATATATGTGCATGGAATAAAGTTTTGAAACTCGCAACCAAGAACTCAAACTAGGCATGGAAATAGACCAAGTAGACTAAGTACATTATTGATTACCCAACTCTATCTTCACACCAAAAATCTAAATATAAAGGACTATATAAGCAGGAGACGATATATAAGATGAGAATCTGTGTTACTTCAAAACCGGGTTTTTCAGTCTTCCTAATTCAAACAACCAGAAAACTAAAATATAAACTTAAAGGTTCGATCATTGGAAAGAAAAACAAGACATTACTTGTTGAAATCACACAAGAGGGTCACCAGTTCCACCAAGCCATGCCAATGGATGCTGTTGCTATGATTCTTCAGCGGTACTGCAAACACACGCAAATTGGTAAAGAACTATAAGAAGAAAAGGCATTCCATTACCAAACAAGGAATTTCATCAAACAAAAGGCTGATTTCTTCAAACCTTGATGAAGCCAATCTCCTTGGCGTTGCTACGGAAGCATTGTCTGCAGCAGTTCAGTCCATACTTCCTGATGAGGCCGTGGGAGTTTCCGCACACACGGCTGCCAATCCGAAAACACACACACAAGCTTTTGTCGGTAACAGTGGCAGAAAAACCAGCAAACCCAGATCGGACTATGCATTCACTACAACAAATCTTAGAACCCAATTCGCATTACTACACACGACAATAAAAGATGAATTCGGCATATCTTAGATCACATCTTCTCAGCAACAAAAACAGACATCAAAAGATGTTATTAGAGTATTAACAATTCTGTTAGCGAGTTAGTTATTAACGGCGTCTGTATATAAACAAAGCAAAAAGGTTAATTAATACAATTCATTCTTTTACCCTAAACATTCTCGGTTTCCGCCTAATTTCTCTCTCGAACTTTCATATTTTCTCTTCATTCCCTGGCATCTTTGGTCCAGATTATGAGAGCTAATATGGTATCAGAGCAGAAATTGTTTCCGCAGTTTGTATTTTGATTGTGATTTCGTTCATCTTGATCGATTTCACCTTTCTGTTTTCTCAAAATTTTTTTTCTCGGGAAAATTTTCTGAAATTTTCTTGGAAAAATGCCGATTGGAACTTCGTCGGCGGCGAATCAAGTTGATGATAGTCTCTACCACATTGATCGCAGTGATTACAATCTGAATTTGGTCACTGATCGACTCACTGGTCCTGAGAACTTCATTACTTGGCGTCGCTCGCTCTCCATGGCCGCTGAAGGACGGAATAAGCTTGGCTTCATTGACGGTACGATTCCAAAACCATCTGACTCAGATCCAAATGCAGTACTATGGTCGAGGAACAATTTGGTTGTTAGTTCTTGGATTCTGCATTCTGTTAGCCAAGATATAGCGACGAGTTTGATGTTTTTCAAGACTGCAAACAGAATTGTTAATACTCTAATAGATGTAAACTCAGAAAGAACTTTATAGTTCTGCAAGGTCTTGAAAGATTACAGCAATCACTTGAGCCGATTGCATTTAGGATGAATCGAGAAGTACAGATTCATCGAACCTACCATGTTTGGAATGCGAGTATTTACCGATAAAAAATTTGAAATTCTAAGAACTGAAAAGCAAGCAAAAATCGAAGAGTTTCAGAATGAAGAAAACGTATCTAGATAATAATCTCTATGCTTCTACGAGCTCTTAGAATGATTACAATAGTCACTCAACCGATCAATCCAACACCAACATTGCTTTCGGGTCAATAGAAACATACGGATTCATCGAACCGCAAAACTTAACTCGAAAAAGTGCCCAAAATACATAAAATTGCTTTCATGACAAAGAAAAACGTAATTTAAAAATGCAATCACAACAAAATCGGAAGAAAATTGAGGAAAAGCCTTACCAAGTGCGAGATCCAGGACCGTATTTCTTCGGGTGAGAATTCCAAACGTTACTGTGACCCATTCTGCTGCTTCGTTGCTTCGCTGATGGATCTACTAGCGCGGTGAAAGAACCCTAGATGTTGCAGAAGAGCGTTTTGAAAAGCGAAGCGTCAAGGAATGCAACTATTTATATGTACACTCTGAATAAACGGGGCATCACAAAAACCCTAATCCGCTGAGGCGTTGGATTTGGTAAACCGAACTCGGTTAATAATCAATTAATTTGGACCAACTAACCGATTGTACCAAACCGCCGGTTTGCATGTATTGGAGACCGACCGGAAAAAAAATGAGCGGTTTTTGAGTTGCCTTGAACCTGGTATAGATCTTTAAATGCCCTAACACTAAAATCCAATGATTTAATTTATTTTATCATTTTCTTTCGAATCATTTTTATATAATATGATAGAAAACTCAATAATTTTTTCTTGCACCAATTTTGTGTTATCTCCTAGTTAATTCTAAATACTTTTAGTTTGGGATAATTTTTTGAAAAATTGTTTACAGTTTTTATAATTTTTGTTAAAAAATGGAAATAAATCACAAAGACATAAATTAGACAGTTCTCTATTAATCTATTCTTTTATATATATATATATTTTATAATAAAATGGCTATTATGTATTTGAATTCATAAAAAAATACAAAAATTATAATCTTGTTAACTCATGCTTCCATTCTACAAAAATAAAACAAAGGAATCATTCTACCATTTCGTAGAAACATATTACTATAATTATTCTAATAAATCATAGAATAAATTTGTTTCACCTTTTTCCATTTCCATTTAATTTTGGCAAATTTAGTACTTTTACGTTGTTAAGTTTTCCTTCTTTTTCATCGTTTGTCCTTCTTCATATCTTTTTTTCCTTTATTTATTTATTTTATTTATTCTGTATATTTTCAGATTCATCATTCATATATGATATTAAATACATGTGAAATATTCTTCATCACTTTTGATTTCACACACGAGATTTCTTTCTAAAAATTCTCAATCTTCCAAAAAAAAAACACATTCCATAGATGGATGATGATATTTTCTAAAATGAACTTACCAAATAGTATATAATATGCACATATAATAACACAAACCTCGACCAATTTTACAAACTCACAATTATTCAAAGATGGCTTCCCTCACCATCACAAAACTCGCCCCTCTCGTTCTTCTCGTAACGCTTTCGCTCCTGTCTAACGCCGAAGCCGTGAGCATGAAAATCCAAAACGACTGCGGCAGCCCGTTGAGAGTGAAGTGTCACTGGAAGCACGACGACATCGGGAACCGCGTCGTGGCTCCCGGGTCGTCGTGGGAATGGGTTTTCGTGCCGCCGCCCTCGGAGACGAGCGTCTGGTACTGCGGAGCCTCGTTCGAGCACGGCAGCGGCGTTTACGATGTCTACAGCAGCGTTAGGGACGTTGGCCGCTGCAACTCTTGTCTCTGGTCGGTTAGGCCTGATGGTTTACATGGGATTAGCGAACCGGCTTCTAACCCGGAAGTCTTCTTCAAGTGGCAATCTACATATTGATCTGTGAGGGGGGTTTTTTTCGAGAATTTTTAGCTTCACCGATTTCGATTCGAATATGAATTAATATATATCTTAGAATTTCTTTTAATTTCTCCATTTATTTAAAATTTGTCTTGATATATAAAAATACATTCAACATAAATACACATTTTAAAAATCCTATGAAAATGTGTTTCGTTCTAAATGTATTCTACAATAATTCCTTAATTTCAAATTTATTTGGATCGATCGAATGAATTCTTATTTTTCATTCATTTCTAATTTGGATTAAATATTTTGAAATTTGATCAAATAAATATATAACGAATAAGATTATTAAATCTCTCTCTCTATATATATATATATATATGACAATAGATATGTAATGCTTATACGTATTATCATATCTCTCAAATCCTATTGTTGTATAAGAACTCTCGAATCTTATGATTGCTTTCCTTTTTTTTTCTTAACTAGCAGAAATTTAATCTTAAATCTAAATCTGCAAATCTGACCGTCAATATTAACTGCATCTTCACAACAAATATTTTGCGAGGAACTTATTTACATAATTGTAAAAATATTCTCTTTTAGGATCTGACTTTATGTACATTATTACATGGATTTTTTCTGGAATTTTTTATATTTTTTTAATATATTGTGGTATAACATTATGTATAAAAGTAATATTATTGTGCGAAGTAAAATATGTTAAATTTAAATTTCTTATCCTATATAAGTCGTGTGACACGTGTACTTTCTTAACACTAATGCAACCACTGACCTAGATTCGCTGGGGATCCCAAAATCCGGTCAAAGTCAAAATCAATGAACCTAAAAAAACAATATAACATATAGTAAAAACGATCAGTAATTAATGTTAAATCGATCGCTAATTATATTTTTCTATTTCGTCGAAAAAGGTGCAAATTCAGTTCAACATAAAATAAAATAAAAAGAAAAAAGGAAATTGCAAATTCAAAAACCTGCAACGGTCGATTAGATCCAAATATATGGCCTACGATCAGTTCTCCTCATCCAAAAAGAAACGAAGCAAGCTATCTGATCTTTCCCCCCTCTCTCTCAAAATTTGAATCTCTCTCTCTCTCTCTCTTTCTTCCATAAACATGGCCGAGAACCGCTTCGCCGGAAGCTTATCCACATCCTCGAGATGGAGTCTCCTACCAAAATCTATATCCGGAAAGAAGCCAAGCTCGAGCCTTCGATCGTCCAAATCTGAAATCGAAAATTCACCGCCTGCCGATCCAAACATTCGTGTTTCACGAAGAAGACAAAAACAGTCTCAGTTCGCGAAAGAATCACTGCCTGAGTCTGAATCTGGGAATCTTGTCGCTTCATCCAGTAGCCGGGATGAAGTTTCAAAATCTCGGGTACGTTAATCCCGTGGTTCGAGTTGTATTATTCTTTTCTAAATTCTTTATGATGATTTTCGCTTGTACCAGAGTGTATGCGTAAAATAAATTTGCCGGAATCTGGCTTTAGGGTTTCTTTTGTATGCTTGAATCTTTAGTCCTGATTCATTTTGTTCTGTTTTTTGGTATGTTCTTGGGATTTTGGAAAATAAATTTTGTCAGGGAGGGACTACGGTTCAAAAGATCCGCGATGGAGTGGAAGAAGCTCCGAATCCGCATGTTAAGGTTGTTTTATGGTCTCCCAAGAGCCGTTTCTTTCTATTTTTGGTTTTCTTGCTCGGGAAATTAAAATTGAAGCACTAACTTTGATTCAAAGGTTGCTGTGAGGATTAAACCTACCAAGGAAGAAATCTGGACAGTGAGAAAGGTTTCGAAAGATTCCTTGTCCGTGAGGGATCGGCAATTTTCATTTGATTCTGTTCTTGATTCGAAGTTTAATCAGGTTCGAGCTTCAATCTCTTTTCCTCTTTCTTTCAGAGGCTTTTTCGAGTTTCGATGTCAAATTTGTTTATGAGCCTTTTTGTTTCTTGATGCCACTCAGGAAGACGTGTTTCAGCAAATAGGTGTTCCTTTGGTTCGAGATGCATTGTCGGGTTATAATACATCTGTATTATCATATGGGCAGGTTCTCAGATTTGTTATATTTTCAGCTGTCCATAAATCCAAATAACTAATGTTAGAGATTCACAATTTCTTATATGTTTTGCCAACACTTCATCCATAGACTGGAAGTGGGAAGACCTACACGATGTGGGGTCCCGCAAGTGCAATGCTGGAGGAGCCATCACCCAGAGGCGAGCAGGGACTGGCCCCCCGAATCTTCCAGATGCTATTCTCCGAGATCCAGAGAGTATGTTATTATATGTCCCATATTTAGTGAAGGTTGTATTGGATGATAAAAGCTGTGGTGTTTTGTTTATTGATTTGTCTTTCTTGGCAATTCTATGTAGGAGAAAGAGAAGTCTGGAGGAAAAGAAGTAAACTACCAGTGCCGTTGTTCCTTTCTCGAGGTTACACTTAGACCCTTCCTACATGAATAGCATTCCTTTTTGGAAAAATTTTCTAATTGTGCAAGTTTCATGGCTGCACTTCTATTGCAGATATACTGTGGACAAATCAGTGATTTGATTGATCAATCACAGAGAAATCTTGAGGTTTAGATTTGTCAATTTTGCAGTTTTTTGTTTTCATCTGTGAATTGGGGTTGTGTGAGTTTCAATTCTTAAACACTTTTCAATTGTTGCAGATAAAGGAGGAAAAGAATGGTATTTATGTTGAGAACTTGACAGAAGAATACGTGGATAGCTACGAGGATGTTGCTCAAATACTGATGAAGGTGTGACGGCTGTTAATGAATACTAATGCCAATATTATCTCATGTGGTCTTGACAACTGCTGCTTGCTTCTGCATACCATTCATTCATCTGTATTCTGCATCATTTATTGGTCATTTGTTTCAGGGATCACATATCTTCTCGTGTATAATTTTTCTTTCTTTTCATATCTTACTGCTTCATCAGGGCCTGTCAAGCAGAAAAGTTGGAACAACTAGCACCAATTCAAAAAGTTCTCGATCGCATATTATATTTTCTTTCATTATTGAGTCTTGGTGCAAGGTACGGTTGATTTACAGATATTGGTTTCTTACTTTTGGCTAACTGTCAAATTTCACTAGTGTCGGAAATATTTTCCTATCGAAATGTATATCAAATCTCCAAGGGAACCAATAAACATGCACAAACTTTGAAAACTTGAGCATGGACCCACGGTGGTGGTAAAGTTTTCATATGCATTGGGTTGCCAAACAATTGCAACTTCGTTGTCTACTAAAACTTCATAATGTGATGGATCAAATGCAATGTGTGTGCAGGGAGCCTCATCCAGATGTTTCAATACTACGAGGACAAGCAGGATCAACCTTGTTGACCTTGCTGGAGCAGATAACAATAAACTTGATGATGCTAGTAGTCATTGTGTACAGGAAGTGAAGTACTTGAAGAAATCATTATCCCAGCTTGGGTACAATTCAATTTTCTCCCCTGTGACTTGCTATTATTCATCCTTTACTAATCTGTAAATAACATCCTTTACTATTGGCGCAGCAACATCATTAATGTTCTGTCAATGAGAGAACATCCTGGAGTATCTGATGGCGCTCCTCATAAAGTCTCATGTTTGACACATTTGTTGCAAGAATCACTTGGTGGGAATGCAAAACTTACTGTCATATGCAATATTTCTCCAAGCAACAAGTATTTTTCTCATCGTTCTTTGTCTAATTTCATTATAACAACCTGATGGTACTAAGTACAAAGACTCAATCGAGATATAATGTCATAGCTGAAGCTGATTGTATATAAATAAAAATCAGCTTTTTGACATTGGGAGATGACTAGGAAGAGATATTGAAATTGGAAGACATTGAAGTGATATGATGAGTTTGCTTGTGTGGTGCAGAAACATAAACAGAATGATGAGCACGCTTCGTTTTGGACAACGAGTTAAAACCGTCGGAAACAAACCAGTGATAAATGAGATCTCAGAGGAAGATGTCAATGATTTGAGTGACCAGATTCGCTTGCTAAAGGTTTGAAAGCATATTTGTGTAATCCTTTCAACTTTTGTGTTTCAGAGTTGGCGTTCAGTCTGAGATCATCTGTCGCATTGTTGCAGGAAGAACTCATAAGAGCCAAATCTGATGTTTGTCATTCTGATGGGAGTAAAAGTGACTATTTTAGAGCAAGGAAAGCACGTGAAAGCTTGAACCAACTAAGTGTTAGTCTTAACCGTTCTTTGATTTTGCCAAAAATGGATAATGAGGAAGAAGAGATAACAGTTGATGAAGAAGATGTGAAGGAGTTGCATCAACAGCTCAAAAAATTGCATAGTTCTTTCAACGAGAATCTAACAAAGCTACCTGTCGTTAGAGACTCCGTCAATTCCTCTTTTGTCACTGCATCTTGTGAGCCAGAACTAATAGAAGATGACGAGATCTGTTCAGGTGAAACTGAAGCTGAAGATGCAGAGTTGGACTTGGAAAAATCTTTGAAGCAACGTGAAAAAGATGCTGCAGCAACAAGTGAAACAACTGAGAAGAAAACCAGGAGTCAGGATTCTGTGTCGGGAAATAGCATTTCAATCAACCCATGCCGTCAATCCTTGCCTTTCCAAGAACCAACCCTATCAGAATCTCCTAAAATTAAAGGCATGCTGAGGAAAAGCATAGCTCTTTCTCCACAGAACATGAAGAAATCCATGTGTCTCGCGGAAAGTGGACACCTCAGATCATCTTTTTCCAGAAGCAACATATTTCCAAGTTCGACAGAATCTTTAGCAGCAAGTCTGCAGAGGGGCTTGGAGATTATTGACAATCACGTTAACCCTGCATCAAACAGATCTTCAGTTATGTTGTCTTTTGAGAACTTGACCATGACAGAAAAGGGTAGTACATCACCAGCCAAGATATTGGAGGAAGCTAAATCATCAGCGGATAGACAATCTTTGTCAATGGTCTGCCTCTCTTGCCGACAAAAATTTGAAAACAACTTGAATGAGCTTCAAGATGGAGTAAACAATCCAAAAGAAACGACAGATGTGGTATAATGCATGTTTTTATATATCAAAATGAGTCGTGTATGCCATAGTCCATAGCTAACCTTCTCTTATTCATTTACCTATTGTAAAATCAGGGTACCGGTGAAGGAATGAACGGGGTTGTGGAAAAGGGACAGGACCTTGAAAATTTGTGTCTCGACCAAGCAGCCAAAATTCAACAGCTAAATCTTCTGGTAACTCCAATTTTAGTTCAATTGAAACTTAGATTAGCACGAGGTTTATTTTCTGGTTATTCATGTAATGTGTTATTCATTCAGCTTGAGCAGTACAAACATCAGAATGAAACAACCACCCTCAAGCAGGCATGCATTGGGGACCAATCCTCACCGAACGGGAACCAGGTTGGTTGTTTCTTAATTTGGTCATGTGAAAAAACAGTGTAAACTGCAGGATTAATTGGTTATCTTACAGTCATATTCGAAACTGTGGATTTGCAGCTTCGGAATTGGACAGATATTGAGGGTCACCAGCCAGAGGTCAGAAAGGAAATATATGAAGTAAAGCAAGTCCAAGAAGACTCTCAAAAGACAAACTTCGATACCAGTGAGAAGGAGGCGTTGCTTAAAGAAATTGAAGATCTGAAAAACGAACTGCAGTCATGTTACACAGACAAACTAAGATCATCTTTGCTGTCCCGATCTTTAGAACTCCGTGAAAGAACAGGATTTAAGCAGATGGCCGGGAAAGATATTGAGAATGAAAGGCTTAGGTGGACAGAAATGGAAAGCGAGTGGATATCATTAACAGACGAACTCCGAGTCGACATTGAAACTCAGCGTATGCGTGCAGAAAATGCTGAAGCGAAACTTAAACTAGAGAAACTCTCTGCTGAGGAGTTAGAGGATGCACTTCGGAGGGCAGTAGTCGGCCATGCCAGGTTTGTTGAACATTACACAGAGCTGCAAGAGAAGTATGATGACCTGGCCGGAAGGCATAAGGCAATGTTAATATGGATAACGGAGTTGAAAAACGCAATGGCAAAGGCGGGAGAGAAAGACCGTGGGTCCCGTTATGCCAGGTCTCTTGCGGCAGAGCTCTCAGCGCTTAGAGTGGAGAAAGAGAGGGAAAGGGATTTGTTGAAGAACGAAAATGTCAGCCTCAAGATGCAGCTAAGGAATACAGCTGAAGCTGTTCATGCTGCCGGAGAATTGCTCGTTAGGCTCAGAGAAGCCGAGCATTCGGCATCAACTGTCGAGGTAACCAACTAATCCTCGAAATTCGCAATTGCTCTGTCAACTAGGTTGATTTTTTTTTGTCACGGATCATTCTTGACTGCTCGGTTCTGAAATGAACATTGCTTTGTAGGATAAGTTCAAAAGTGTTAAAGAAGAAAATGAGAAGCTGAGGAAGAAAATGGAAAAGCTAAAGAGGAAACATAAGATGGAAATGATAACAATGAAACAATGCCTCAAGGAAAGCAGGTTGCCAGAATCTGCTTTGCAGCCATTGTACCACGAGAATTCGACTAATTTGGATCAACACATTCACATGTAGAGCTGAATCTGGAGCAGTTTATTAGAAGAAGACCCTCCTCGGATCTAATTTGGTATCTCTCTCTCTCTATATATACACACACCATAACTTTCCACTTGATAAGATTTATATATTATATATCCACTTGCTTCGGACATTGTCTTCTTTTCTTCGACGAGCATTCATTCAAAGCCATGCTGATGGAAATAAAATGTCGGTTCCATGGGTCATTTGATGGATTCATTTGTAATTGATTTGACTGATTATGTGCTGTCTGCAAACTTGCTCTTTTTTTCTTTTTCTTTTTTCTTTTTTTTGGATGGATATTGCAAACTTGCGCATGTCTTAAAATACAAAATATTCCCATTTTTATCATTGTGTATTTTGGTCCATGATGAAGTACAGTTACACACTATTGGGGTATGATGAATTATTCCCTTTTCATTCTCTTAGAAGTTGCTGAGAAAATACGAGCAAGAAGACTAAGCAGCCACTGTTTGTAGAGCTGAAGTCCTTTTTCAGTGGATCTCCACATGAACAGTTAAGTCTTTGTCCCTTATCACCAACTCACTTGATGCATAGAGGGCTTTGTTCAATAACAAGACAACAGTTATGAAACTGAGCCATAAGACAGATCATAGAAATCGGCCAAGAATGTCAAAGCTTCATGGTTGCTGTTGCAGATCCTCCACAGGGAATTAATCTCCCCTTTGGAAAGTGTGCCCCGGTTTTCGCAACTGTCGAGGAATTCAAACAGCTTGGAGTAGAAGGAATCGTAGTTCATCACCAGGAACGGAACTGGCAGCTCCGATCCAATCCTCTCGAGCTGAATCAATGCCAAGATCTCAAACATCTCATCGAGGGTGCCAATTCCACCGGGAAGGGCAATTACGGCTGTCCTGTCCGAAACACTATTTCTAATAACAGCATCTACCAGTCCGTGCTTTCTTGCTGAGAAAAACCTACATTTCATACAAATGATGCCCTTCCATTACCAGTATACAACAATACTGAAAGAATTTTCTGGGATAATATGGCATGAGATGGCATCCAAACTCTTTGCTCGTTTGGTAGAATCGGTACTAAGAGACTAGAACTCAACTCATTAAGCTGACCTGCAAGTATGGTAGTTTTGAGGAGGAAGATAAGGATGAAACTTGGAGGCAGTCCATTCACCTGCTTCTTTGTCTATCTTGATACCCCCAACTGGTTTCCCGATCTCCAGCGCGCCTTTAGTCACAGCATCCATAAGTCCTGGCCCAGCTCCAGACCATGTAGTACAGTCTAAAAGCTTTGCCACCTGATCAGACGAAATTTTGCAAGGAGCCAGTCATATGAGAACTCCAAGTCCATAACCGCGATTACGATTTCATGGAAATATCTCGTATCATATACCTCTCTGCTCAAGTCTTGTGCCTGCAGGTAGTGCGAGTGATTCGGTAGGAACCTCGCAGAACCCAAGTAGACAACCCCCCTCCCGAGCCTGTGTATCAGATCAAAACATCTCTCTAGCTCTTTCCTGACCTTTCAAATCAAGTGGAGGAAATGAGGTACTCAACAGCATTGGGCAAAGAGTAGAGAGGAAGGATATTGTCTTTCATGAGGAAACAGATACAGTGGTCCTACTTCATGGTTCAACCCAACAAATCAGGCTGAAGTAATTTGCAACAGAGAAAAGATGTAACCTTTCCACTAACAAATTCCATTGATTTGTTTCAACCTCTCGGTCTATAACTCCTCAATCACATTGCATCAGTCAACAAAAATCGGCAGGGGGGAGGCCTTAGGGTTTAAACCCTCTCTCCGACAAATTTCATCATTCTACCAAAAATTACAGCTAAACCCTTCAAAGCAAGAAGATGGGTACACTGGAAATCGAATACCTTCGAAGAAAACGAGTAGCAGAAACTGGGAATTTGTCCTTTTACCTCATTTGGGCTACTTCTCTGTACAAAGTCCCCGGACTCGGACTTGCACTTCGATACTCGAGGTGGGTTTGCCCTAATTGGACCAGGAAACATCATCTTCATCTCGAATCGGGCTCCTTCGGACAATGAGCTCCCGAATTTTGGGGTTTGTGGAGGAGAAATCGTCGGGGATAGGCGGCATGAACTCAACATGGAAAACCCCATCTGTTGAAATGCACACTTTCCTTCCTTGTGTTCTTGAGTAGAAATATGGGGTTGATGATTTCGCTTTCGTCGATGCCGCCTCATGTTACACTGTCAATTTTCAATTTTGTTGTTTTTTTAATCTCCTATAAACATACAAATTTGTCATTAATGTTTTTTAAAAATATACAAATTTGTTATTAATAACTTTAATTTTTGTTAAAAATAGATATAGGAATTTTTTGGATTTCTAGTTAAATCTATCGAAATTTTAAAGTATTTTCATAATATATATATAAGCATTTTCATAATATATACAAATTTGTTATTAATAACTTTAATTTTTTTTTAAAAAAAAATATACAAGAATGTTTTGGATTTCTAGTTAAATCTATCAATTTACAATTTTGTCAATATTTATTTCCCTTGCAACGAACCTTTTATAAATAGTTAGAAAATATATAATTTTTTTTAAAAAAAGGGAAGATTATGACCAAAGGTAATATACAAAGGAGAAAAAGGACAAAACAGAAATTTGGAAGAACACATGAAAACACTGACAAATTCCACACAGAGCTAACTTAAGAAACAGAACAAAAGAAAAGGTTGTGTTTTGTCTTTGTTAGGGCATGCCTGTCCTCATTCCCCCTCTCAGAATATTTTTCAAATCCTTTCCCTTTTTTTTTTCTTCTCCCAAAATGAAATAAGCCCATGATTCTCCTTCCACCATACACACTGACAAAAAAAAACCCAACATATATATATATATATATATATATATATTATATGTTGTATGCATTGAAATGGATGTACAAATCTATATACATATATATATATATACATATATATCAAAACCCATTGAATAACCATGGGACACGATATGGTAGACGACGTTGTAGCCATATACCAAAAATGAATAAATGATTATCAATTTTATTTATAACAATTAAATTATTTATCAGTTATCGTATATAGTTGAGCGACTTTAATCGTCATTTGCCCTTATATTTATGCAAATATCCATATCGACATCATCGGGCAAATGTCATGGAGAGACACATCAGACAAGATACCACGATGGGTAAAACTCACCGATATGAACATTATTTCATTGAAATAAATTAAATGTCTCATCATTTGAAATGTTATTTAACGTAACAAACTATTTTATATTACCAAATAAATTGGCACAAGCTTTTTACCGCAGAGTTGCAATACAAGAGAATCAACTTTTTAAAAAGTTTAATTAAAGCAAAAAGAAAATTTATTTCTAACTTGTTATGGATGTCGTCGCGTGTGTATGCATAGTGTGTGTATAGAGAATGGGAAAAGTTTCCGCATGAAAATTTGAAGCATTTGTCCATATGCTGAAAGATAATGGATTCTTGTGGCAGAGTGGGCAGTGCTTTTAAATTCCCATTTCCCCCTTGACCACATTCATACGTTCATACAAATTATAAAAAAACAAAAATCCACATCCCATTGAGATGGGAACAAAACAAGCCAGAAGAAGACAAAACCAACTCTCACGCATTGTCTGCTACGTACATCCAAAGGGAACTAATGGCTGTTTCAGTTCAATCCTTTCCCCTTCCGTTCTTTTCCCCATACAAGAATAGCAGAGCAAGAACACAGAGAGAGAGAGAGAGAGAGGGAGAGAGATTTCTTCTGAATGCGAAGCTTTGACATTTTTCTCCGAAACCCGAGTGGATTTTTCCGCCGATTGCAGAATCCGGTAATTTTCTTCTCCCCTGTTCCTTCCTAAACCCGATTTGAATGCCCTTTAGCTTCTTCTTGTTCTTGTTTCTTCCTCTGAACAGGGGTAAAACTCACCGATATGAACATTATTTCATTGAAATAAATTAAATGTCTCATCATTTGAAATGTTATTTAACGTAACAAACTATTTTATATTACCAAATAAATTGGCACAAGCTTTTTACCGCAGAGTTGCAATACAAGAGAATCAACTTTTTAAAAAGTTTAATTAAAGCAAAAAGAAAATTTATTTCTAACTTGTTATGGATGTCGTCGCGTGTGTATGCATAGTGTGTGTATAGAGAATGGGAAAAGTTTCCGCATGAAAATTTGAAGCATTTGTCCATATGCTGAAAGATAATGGATTCTTGTGGCAGAGTGGGCAGTGCTTTTAAATTCCCATTTCCCCCTTGACCACATTCATACGTTCATACAAATTATAAAAAAACAAAAATCCACATCCCATTGAGATGGGAACAAAACAAGCCAGAAGAAGACAAAACCAACTCTCACGCATTGTCTGCTACGTACATCCAAAGGGAACTAATGGCTGTTTCAGTTCAATCCTTTCCCCTTCCGTTCTTTTCCCCATACAAGAATAGCAGAGCAAGAACACAGAGAGAGAGAGAGAGAGAGGGAGAGAGATTTCTTCTGAATGCGAAGCTTTGACATTTTTCTCCGAAACCCGAGTGGATTTTTCCGCCGATTGCAGAATCCGGTAATTTTCTTCTCCCCTGTTCCTTCCTAAACCCGATTTGAATGCCCTTTAGCTTCTTCTTGTTCTTGTTTCTTCCCCTGAACAGTTTTTTTTTTTTTTTTTTTGGTGGCTTGTCTCCGGCAATGATTCTGCGAACCGGTCGACAGATGTCTTGATATTCTATCCAACTCAGATCCGAGGATTAATTGGGTGTTCCTGCAGAAAATCCCAGGTTTCTCTCTCAGCCCCTTTACCAGATACTGTGGAACTTCTTTTTTTCTTCTTCTCTTTCAAGTTCAGGACAGTGATTTGGGTCATCCCTTAACATGTTTCTTAGATGCTGAGATTGCTTAATAACCTGTCAGAATCTCCATCTCTGCCAGTTCTATAACTGTTCCTGAAATTTTTTTTTCTGGGTTTTTAGGTATCTTGTGTTCAATCAATGGTTACTATGTTTCAAGAAGATGGGACGTCTTCTGTAGCTTCATCTCCTCTTCAGGTTTTCTCCATGATGCCCCTCCATAGGACTAACCTAGCTGGCCCATCACCATATCCATGGCTGAAAGACCTCAAACCAGAGGAGAGAGGCCTCTACTTGATCCACCTCTTGCTCACCTGCGCTAACCATGTCACCTCCGGTAGCCTACAGAACGCGAACTCCGCCCTCGAGCAACTCTCTCACCTTTCCTCTCCCGATGGAGACACGATGCAGAGAATTGCTGCTTACTTCACCGAGGCGCTCTCCACTCGGATCTTGAAATCTTGGCCCGGCCTCTACAAGGCCTTGAACGCGACCAGGATGAGGAACGTCTCGGAGGAGATCTACGCGAGGAAGCTGTTCTTCGAGATGTTTCCTGTTCTGAAAGTTTCTTACTTGCTCACCAATCAAGCGATAGTCGAAGCAATGGAGGGCGAGAAGATGGTCCACGTGATCGATCTCCATGCTTCTGAACCGGCTCAGTGGATCGCGCTTATTCAGTCTTTCAACTCGAGACCGGAAGGGCCACCTCATTTGAGAATCACCAGTGTTCATCAGCAGAAGGGTGTGCTGGATCAGATGGCTCATAGGCTCACTGAAGAAGCCGAGAAACTCGATATCCCGTTTCAGTTCAATCCTGTTGTCAGCCGGTTGGAGTCTCTTAACGTCGACCAATTACGGGTTAAGACAGGGGAGGCATTAGCAATCAGCTCGGTTCTTCAGCTGCATTGCTTATTGGCCTCTGATGATGAATTCTTGAGAAAGAATTGCCCATCACGGTTCAAGAACCCTAATGGAACAGACTTGCAGAGGGTTTTACTGATGAACCCAAACTCTGCGGGCGAGGTTACAGACAATGATATAATAAGCAACAACGGCTACAGCCCGAGTGGTGATTCGGCCTCGTCTTTCCCTCTATCCTCAGGAAAGATGGACAGATTTCTCCATGCATTATGGAGTTTGTCACCAAAGCTAATGGTAGTAACCGAGCAAGATTCGGACCATAACGGTACCTCCCTAATGGAAAGACTACTCGAATCCCTCTACACATACGGGGCGTTGTTCGATTGCTTGGAATCAAAACTGCCAAGAACGTCGCAGGAGAGAATCAAAGTGGAGAAGATGCTTTTCGGGGAAGAGATCAAGAACATCATAGCCTGTGAGGGATGCGAAAGAACGGAAAGGCACGAGAGGCTCGAGAAGTGGAGCCAGCGGTTTGATTTGGCGGGGTTCGGTAACGTCCCTTTGAGCTGCTACTCGATGTTGCAGGCGAGGAGATTGCTTCAGAGTTATGGGTGTGAAGGGTACAGGATTAAAGAAGAGAACGGGTGCGCTGCCATTTGCTGGCAAGATCGGCCTCTTTACTCTGTTTCATCTTGGAGATGCAGGAAGTGAAGTGAAGTGAAGTGCAGACATGAATCTTAGTTGTGTGTGTGTTTTTTCCCTTATGGATTGATTATGTCTCCCTCTATTTGTCGGTTTATTTGTTTTGAGTTAAACCAAGTTGAAGAGTTCCTTCTTCTGTGTAAATGGGAACACAAGTTTGTGGCTTTTGGTCTCTCTATAATATTTTCAAACGGTTTGCTTCTTCATAGAATGGCCTTGTGTTTATCGAATGATTTCTGGCTATAGTTGGTTTTGCTAAAATTTGTCCGGTTTAGTTGGTTAAGTCCGGTTATGTTAATTCGGTTTGGTTTGGTTTGGTGAAGTTTAACGTTTAATTTGAAAAATACAAGAGAAATTTCCGTTTCATCTTTTTACTTGTTCAATTACAATTACAATTACGGGCTCCATGTTCGCATAGAATTGATCACTCATCCAAACCAGTTACCAATTATACCAAACCAAACTTAACCAAGATTTGGTTTTCAAATTGGCATAATTTCTACTAGACCAACTGAATCTAAACCAAACCGATTACAAGTTCACACACCTTATCGCGGGGGGAATTTTACTCAAATGTAGGGGTGTCAAACGAGCCAGCTCGGATCATTTTGGACTCGGCTCATTTGGCTCGGATCGTTTTGGGCTCAACTCGTTAGGCTCGTTTTCTAACGAGCCAGAAAAACCTCAGCTCAGATCGCTCACCAATTTTCCGATCTGAACGAGCCGGCTCGTTGAGCCAAGGATATATAATATTTTTTATTTATATTTATTTTAAATATAATTATAAATTTAAATAAATACATAAAAATTTATTAAAACACCAATATCATTTAATATTTTCAATTATCACCATCATAATAATTAGTATATTTATAATATCATATAAATAATATGAAAAAAATTAATATAAAATTATATTAGAGTTTTTTTATATAAATTTAATTTATTTAAAAAAAAAAATACCAGCTCGTTGAGCAGCTCGCCAGCTCGCCGAGCCAGACTCATTGAACACGTTCTCAATGAGCTCTGGCGAGCCACGAGCCAGCTCACGAGTCGGGCTCGTTTTGACACCCCTACTCAAATGACCCACTTGGGTCGCACCTATTTCACGTGTACACCAGAAAAAACATAACACTTTTTTTTGTTTGAAAAGACGAAATTACCCTTAATGAATACGCGATTTTTATCCGTTCGAAAACAACTTCGTTATTACGACTTCGTAATTAATTCTAAATATAGTTACAATTGATTTTAAAAAAGGTGGCAAAAAAAATCATCTGTCTTATTTTAGTGGTATATCAGTTATATGTTAGTCGTAATAAGGTCGCAAAAAATAAAACGAAAAGGGTATTTCGGACTTTTTCAACCGAAAAGTGGGTTAAAATTAATTTTTTTTTTTCGGTGGTGTACGTTGAAATTGCTGCGACCCAAGTGGGTTATTTGAGTAATATTCCCTATCGCGGGCGGCAAAAGACTTTATTACATCTTATATTATTTTAATAGGATAAGTTTTAATACATGCGTATTTTGTTTTTTACATACAATCTCCAACATTATCGTTATTCATATACAGTACTCTTAACCGGCCTTTGCGGTAAATTCCGAATCTGGTTGGAAATCTTCTCTTCCTCATGGCGCAGGCACCGTGTAGCCTATATAATAAATTATACAAAGAATTAATGAAACTAAACAAAAATAAAACAGAAAGTGGGCACTGTTTATTTTTCATTGCGATGTATATGGAAACTAGAACGTATTAAAAATTTTAAAAAAGCAAAAGTTTCCGTATTTATATAATTTTTAAATGTTTGTCTAATTTTTTTGGAAACTATTTAAACGGCTATGAAACTGTAAAAGTATAACAAACGTTGGAAAAAAGCAAAAGGGAAAAGTCGCGAAATATGGATTATTGTTATTGACATAGAGCTTGTTAAGCATGGGAACGACATCTTTTCCACATTCTCCTACATAGTTTATATGAATTTTGTTCGTCGTTTGATAAAATATTCAACAAAATCTTTAAATAAAAAAAAATCAATTAAAACTTTGTCTATCAGAAAATCAAATAAATTTGTTTCTTTAGAAAAGGTAAAAGATTTATTAATTTATCTGTATAAAATATAATTTAGAATATATATATATAAGATATTGATCTAATGTTATAAAAATATTTTTAAAATTAGTTGCAATAGATAATTAAGTAACAGAAGAGTTTTTTTTTTATATTTTAATTTATTTTAAAAAAATTAATTGTGTAATGTTTTGTAATACAAGAGAATCACATTCGATCGCTAAGCATAAAAAAAAAGTAAAGGGGAAAGCAGTTTTATCGACATATCGAAATTATTATCTAAAACATATCCATTTAAAGTTTCCCATAACGAACATATAAAATCATGTAATATATACGTTCCACAATTTTTTAAAAATAACAGCCACAAGTGAGTATAAAATGGACTTACTTCCGCACTTGTATCCGGAGGCGATCTTCTTGCCGCAGGATCGTGCCACGTAGACGACCTTGTCCATATCGACGTAGCTCATGACATCTCTGGAGATGTAACGGCATGCGCAAGGTACGTCGATCGGACGGATGAGAGCGCAGCACGACGGCGACGGCGGAATCTTCGGTCCAGATTTGCCGACGTACCGTTGGCACTCTGAGATCAGCCCCATCAGATCAGCCCCGCACACTTGCGCCTCCGCCTTGTGACTGCACAAGAAAACGGCTGCGATCATCAGCATCGTGATCACCACTCGACCTCCCATTGTCTTTTTATTCGGTGAGCAATGCGACTGTTGGTCACACACCATATGATCTATATATACCATAATATTTGTAGGTATTTGTGTGTGTGTATATATATATATATATATATATATATATATATATATTATTCAGTGTTTTTATCTGCTTGGAATTAATAATTAAAATGGTGAGTGTAAAGGTTATTGTTTTGTCGGCAACAGGTTATTGTTTTTGTCGGCCAAAGGGTTAGGTTGTCATGTGGATTGGTTTACCTCCTTTACACATCAGTTTCATTTTCCATGTTTTTTTAGGTGTTTGGATAAAGATTATTATTCGAAAGAGAATAATATATATATATATATATATATGTGAATTAAAGGTTCTATATATAAATTTACACTCTCCACTTCATTCACTATGTTTGTCTATGATAATGAATTTAAAAGTGTTTTTATTAGATTTGTCCTTTGTTTTTTCCACGTGGCTAATAATTATTATTTGATTTTCTCTCCGGATTAATGTACATGTAACTAGAAATCCAATTTACCAGATTCGGTTTAGATCCGGTTCAGAGAGCTCGAGTAACTAAGGCGTTACGAATAGCGAAGAAGAAATACACGCGCATCAAGAAGCGCGTGTGCTGCACATCCTACCATATCTTCCATGGCCAGAACCAATGAGGGAAGAGGACGAGATACGATCAAACCAGATAACGATTTAAACCGAAACCAAATTATTATTATTTTTGGATCCGATTAAATAGATAAGAAAAAAAAAAATACTGAGGCAGCTCTCTCCTCTCTTCAATGGCGCTGTCTCCTGCTGCAGCAGCGGCTTCGACGTGTCCTCGTCTCAGTCGGTGCAACCTCCTTCCCTCGCTCACTCCGAAGTTTCCGTTCCTCTCCGTCTCCAGGCGGAGCAGAGGCGCGTCTTTCCGGTTTCGCATACGCGCCTCGGCTAATGCCGCCGTGGAATCTCCAAACGGCGCCGTGACGGCGACCTCTGGCGACGAGAGCACCTCCTATGGTCGTCAGTTCTTCCCCTTGGCCGCCGTTGTTGGCCAGGTCTGAAAAAATCGCTCGCTCAAACTGCCGAATTTCAGCAATTTGATGTGTTTTAGCTTGTGAATTTGTACGGATGTTGCAATTTCACTCAAGTGAACCATTTTGCGTTGTGATCAACAGGAAGTCATTTGTGCAGCAAGTTTAGCCTGAGTTTGGATTTTGCATGTTAGGCCACCATATTTTTGCATTTTTTGGTCTTGTAGTTGTGTTTGTAATCTCAGTGATATGCCTTGATTTGTATGCGAGCTGTTCTTATACAGCTCTGTAGATATGCTGATAGTTGCTTATGTAGTAGAAATGCTCCGAATTGCTTCTTGGAACTGTAATACTTAAAACAATTTTTGTGATTTAGCTTGTGAATTTGTATGGAATGCTGCGATTTTATCTTTAAATTATTGCCTTTTCTCTATAGGAGTTGGTTCCTGCATGAAGTTTTTGCCTGAGATTGGATTTTTCAGGCCAGGACGCTACGTTTTTTTGTCTTGTAATTGTGCTTGTTGAATCATTTTTCTGTTGACAATTCTTAAATATCTACGGCCTACCTCAGACATTTGACACCGATCATGGGATCATCCTAACGATTGAGATAGTTTGTTTAATTGATGAGGTTGTACCACAAAATGTTGCCCCTCACTGAAAATAAAGTATAACTAGGGAAGAACCCCTTTATTCCTCCCGATCAATTTTGGTTTGGTGGACATTATACTAAGCTTTGGTTAGCCTCTGTTTTTAACGGTGGGGACAAAATGGCATGACAATAACAATATGCGCTGTTTACAACTGGATTGTATTTTGGTCTTGAAACTCTGGTCATGGTAGCTTCTGAGAATTTCATATGGATGTTGTAACTCTGTAGTCTATCTAATAGATCTTGAGTAGCATTTTGGTCATCCAATGATGGCTGTTGTTGCTTTACAGGATGCTATCAAAACTGCTCTTCTGCTTGGGGCAACTGACCGTGAAATTGGAGGGATTGCTATATCCGGTCGTAGAGGAACTGCAAAGACAGTCATGGCACGAGGGCTACATGCAATCCTTCCCCCGATAGAAGTTGTTGCAAGTTCAATAGCAAATGCCAACCCAGCTTGCCCAGAGGAGTAAGCAAACAGACTTCAATTCTTCGCTGGTTCTTATGAAAAGTCAGCTAAATTTGCTTTTGAAGTTATTAAAATATTTTCCTTCGGTAGAAAAGAAAGATATCTTGGAACTTTGAGTTGTTATTAAAGAATTACTCCTACTTCTGAGTTTACTATATTGTCATTAAATTTAATTTGGAGGAGATGGCTGTGGTGGACAAACAAAAGGAAGCTGAAGAAAGACAAATATTTCATCAATATTTGATGCATTGTCAACGAGAAATTGTTTTAACTTTGAAACTCTATCTTTTCTGTGTCCTCTTTCAGTAAGAATATAATATATGGTGTGAAAGAGATATAGGAATGAATATAATGGAGTTTCTTTTAACAATAAGCAATCAGCGAATCAAATTTGTCTCAACTAGAGAGGATGGGTAGTTTGAACTCTTGTTCTCATTCTCTTTCCAGTTTTACATATCACTGACTTGTACAGTTGTGGTACATGAAGGTGGGAAGATGGCTTAGCTGAGGGAGTAGAGTATGATGCTGATGGAAATGTTAAGACTCAGATCGTGAAATCTCCTTTTGTTCAGGTACATCTAGTTTGAGAAACTACTAACTCCTTCTGGAGATAACTTCTCTTATTCGTTAGTTATCATGTTTTCAAATTATGCAGATTCCTCTAGGAGTCACAGAAGACAGACTCATTGGATCTGTTGACGTTGAAGAGTCTGTGAAAACAGGGACAACTGTTTTCCAGCCAGGTCTTCTGGCTGAAGCTCACAGAGGAGTTTTGTATGTTGATGAGATCAATCTCTTAGATGAAGGGATTAGCAATTTGCTTCTTAATGTATTGACAGAAGGTGTAAATATAGTGGAAAGGGAGGGAATCAGCTTCAGACACCCATGCAAGCCTCTTCTAATTGCGACGTATAACCCTGAAGAGGGTGCTGTACGCGAACACTTGCTAGACCGTATTGCTATTAACTTGAGGTACTGCCAGACAATATCTCTATAGATTAAAATATATAATATTTTTTTCTTTTCTACGCTCTTCTATCGTTTCTCTTTAAATATCTCTTTCTCTGTCATTCATGATGTGAATGTTTGCAGTGCAGACATTCCTATGAGTTTTGAAGATCGTGTAGCAGCAGTTGGAATTGCCACACAATTTCAGGAACGGAGTAATGAGGTTTTTGAAATGGTGGGGGAAGAAACAGAGTTTGCAAAAACCCAGGTACTTTCCAAGTGAACGTTTTGGTTTTTATCCGCTAACACAGCAAGAACGATACATTGAAAAATGTAGGGTTGATTTCCTGCTGGTTATCCAGCCGAGTCTCTTCTTCGATACTTTGTTTAGCTAGTTGAACTTGTGAAATTTATGGTTACCTACTCTATCAGGACATTTTTTCTTTAAGGATAATTGTGTTATCAATCTCCACTATAACTAGACTCCGTAAATACCTTATTTCAGCATTAAATAATTAAGGTACACAGTCTCTCCTCCCTTTTCTTAGGGGGACATTACAAGATATCATCAAGCATAATGAGAAAGTTTTAGCACTTGATAGTTTCTGTGTTGTACAGTGAGGAAACCACCGTTTTTTGTTTGTACAAGAGATTTATATCTGATCGACACACGTAGATAGCTGATGTGTCATTGTGGAAATCTATTTAGATGAATGAGTTGTACTGAAATTATACTGACAACTCCAAGGATTGTGGTATTGTTGGTATTTCCTTTTCTTATATGTTTTCAGTCTCGCTTTAGAACAGTTTTTCTTGTTGCTGAATATCTTGAGCTTTGTTGCAGATTATTTTGGCTAGAGAGTATTTGAAGGATGTCAAAATAAGTAGAGATCAGTTGAAGTACCTGGTTTTGGAAGCTCTCCGAGGTGGATGCCAGGTATTGTAAAAAGATTTTGAATCTGTTTTTGTGTTAGGATTAATATAACTTTAGACTGTTTGAATCACATAAGAATAAAATAAGAAAGAGGGGGCTGTGGCTTACGTAGCAATTAACAAATAGATGATAAGAAGTGGAAAAATCACGTGTAGGAAACTAAAGGAATTTTTAGCCATCAATTAACATAGTCCTCGACAACATGAGCAAATAACCAGAAGAGTGTAACCGAATGATACCTTCATTAGAAAAGACATTTAAACTTGCATTTTTCTTATAAATCTGGATCAAATTTATATTGTAGGGATCATGAATATGCAAGAGTTAGTACAAAGGGCCTCTCTTGTCACAAGATAGATTGTGATTTTTCGCTATTTTATGATCTGGTCACTTTAATCTGTCATTTTTGCGCTACTTTGTAGTCAACCTAATTTCTTGCAGTTATATTTTTTTATCAATACATGGAGCCCAACAGTATCCCTTGTCACAAATTTATGATTTCAGGGACATCGTGCTGAATTGTATGCAGCTCGTGTCGCAAAGTGCTTAACAGCTCTAGATGGACGGGAGAAAGTCACTATTGATGACCTCAAAAAGGCTGTTAAGTATTTCTCTCAAGCATAATCATTTGATTTTGCTTCCTTTGCAACCATAATTATCAATGTTTCCTGCTG